GTCTCTTTTCTATTAGGGGAAATAAGAATTGAGAGTTAAAAGAACGATGTAGATATGTGATCTGAACTACTGATCTTTTAGATGAAGAAAACCGTACGGCCCTCTTCTCCCTGCCAAGGTTATTTCAGCAGTTCATTTCGTAAAAGAATTAATAGTGGAGGAGAGAACGAGGGAACTCTAGAGGCTCTGCCTACCGGTTTGATTGTTTTTGAAAGTCAGTGAAGCTGAATGGGTGGCGATGAGCACCCTAAGCCACGGGAAGAATGCGGTTACAGGACACGAGGTGAAGAAGACTTGGGCCCGGGAGAGACGATGTCCCACGGCAAGCACGCGGCTTTCTTCCAGTGAGACCAACATTCCCCTTAAGATTTGAGCAGCAGCGAAACTCACCTCAAAGACTTCCATCTGTCTTTCTCTACATGGGTTTCAGGGCCCTCACTCTCATAGGAAGCCAAGTAGAGAGCTGGAATCAAGCAGAAGGGAAAGGGCGTTAACGTTCAAGCCTTCTCCCAATATTGTCTCCCACCACCTCTCCCCTGACAGCACAGCACACCCTTTGACATCAAGTGGCGACCAAGAAGGTTCATAAAATGAAGACCACAAGATAATGCTTTTGTCTCTGACCGACCATCAGAACAAAAGCGGCCTCCAGACCAAAAAGGAAGTTTAATTAGCTGAGAGGAAACGAAGGAGACACAACCACTCACAAATGCAAGCGGCATGATGCTCTCACACACTCAGAGGCGTTGCTTACAGTGGGAGGGAGGGGCTTCCTGGGGAGGGAGAGGTTTCCTGGGGGGAGGTCCTGTATCCTTGGTTCTAAAACACTCCCTACAGGTTAAAAAGCTAGGTTTCTCTGGGCAGTTTTCTATCCTTCAAATATGTTTTCTTTCCTTTTACAGCACAAGGACTCTTCACCCGAAGATTAGAGGTGCATCACTAACCCTATATGCGGAGGTAAGAAACCCTCCAGTCCCCTCTGGAAGGGATATCACTAATAGTAAGGATGAAAAAGTGAATGGCGTCTCAAACTGAGAACTGTGCTTTTCACTGTTTGTTCTGCTCAGGAAACAAGAGCGGCAGCATACATTTGCATTGATCTAAAATTAATACATGCATAAACTGCTAATTTTCTTAACACCATCTGTTATACAAATAATGCATGGTTACATGGTTTTTGCAAATTGTGCAGCCCCCTTACTCAGTGTGCATTATCTGTGTGTGAATTATTTACATGAATGCACTGTATGTGAAAAATACTAAATTTAATTCATTGATGTTTTTAACAACAGAGTAGTTCAATCTAGTGTGCTTCAATCTTACACCAGCAATTCAAATAGCGCTTCATTCGTTGTGATCACCATCGATCTCCAAAGGTAAACTGTTAGTTAAAAGATGCCATTGAGCCCTATAATATTAGAATGTAACAAATCACTAGAAGGAATCCAGTCTTTTCGAAACTCTATGTAATCACTTTTTTGCCGGAAATTTCCCAATATTTTAATAAGTGAAGATTTTTGCTACTTTTAAAAACAGTACAGGGTAGCAATAAACTGTTGGGTTTTTTCTCCCTTTTGATTACTCCCCCAAATTACCTCGAATACTGGAATAGGTACATAATTTCATGTCAACTTGAAGATATAGAAAAGCGTAGGGGTGGCATTCAACCCGTCAGTCAGGTCACAGCCTGATGGTGCCTCCATGTGGGTGTGGCCTTCTCAAAAGGAAGGCTCTAGGAACCGCCCCTTCTCTCTCTCTACCTTTACCTTCCTGCTCGCTGACCCTGTGATGGGTCCAGAACCCTGTGATGGGTCCACCACCATTGGATCCACAGGACTTTGTCCCTAACAACCTGTGATATTCCTGCATTCTGCATCATAGCTTGTGACAGTGTGAGTCAGAAGAGGGCCTAATGGACTAATTTTGGACATATGGGACTCGTATCAGAATTATAGACTTGAGTTGGCCTGGGCTGGGATGTTTTCCTGATATATCTTCTGGATGAATCATAAGGCTTTCTGTTGCAGTTGAGGGCGGTCACAAAAGAGACCTCATAATACACCAGCACTGACACTGGCATTTCCTAGTGCCAGGGCATGTGGGCAGCTTGGAAGGAAGGGCCTACTCACCGTCTTCACTGAAGACCGGGACTGTGAGCAGGTGCTGCAAGATCTTCCGGTCCCTCTCAAATGGACACTCCACTTGTTTCCATGTCATCAACTCACTCACTTGCTTGGCCAGTTCCCAAAATTTCTGGAAAAGAATTTTTTTTTAATGGGAGTGGGGGGAGATACGGTATTTAAAGGCAGTCATTTTCACTCAGACAGCTCCATGTAACATGTTTCTCGGTGGTTTCTAAGCATCTGGGTTGTACCATTTCCTTAATTATATAATGGCTATATTCCCTAGGGTGTACATAAAGATGTTTAAGACCTCTGGTGGCATAATGATTACACATTGGGCGGTGATCTACAAGGTCAGCAGTTTGAAACCCCCAACAGGTCTTTGGGAGAAAGATGGGGCTTTCTGCTCCCCTAAAGAAAACTCCCAGGAGCATGCCCCCCACCTTAGAACAGTCACTATGAGTCGGCACTGACTTCATGACAGTGAGTGAGTTTTTGGTTTTTTTTAAGAGGCAAATATATAGCCTTCCTTCCCACTAACAATAACAAAATGTAGGCAATCTATCGTCTAATTCCTTTCTCTAAAGTCAGCTGTTCTTGTTGCTAGTTGTGGTCAAGGGGACTGACCAGTGGAGACCCTCTGTGTCGCACAGTCCAGACTTTTCAGCACCAGATTCCCCAGGCCTCTCTCTTGAGGCGCATTTTAGTGACGTGCACTGCCAGCCTTTAGTTCTATCCAGGAACTCTTTCACCTTTAGTACAGACAGAGGATAACTGGTTCTGTAGCCTCCCAAGCAGGTGAGCCTGAGAGCCTGAATGTGGCTGTGGTGCTCCAGCCTGTACGCTCTGGTTGTGTAAACTTCCAGCACTTACCTCAAAGTTGACATGGCCGTTGGGGAGGCGGTTGGCACAGCCTTCGTTGAGGAAATAAATATCTTTGATTAAGAGACTGAAGAAGGGTATCACAATCTAGAGAAAGCAAGAGTTTTCCATTAGTTTGGGCAAATAAACATCTAATTTCTTGTCAATAATAGATCAATAAACAACATTGAATCTGGATTCATGAAAGGCCTCCATGAATTAAAATCTGGCTTTTCACTTCCACCTCACATCTCAGTGGTTTCCTCCCATGACTAACTGTAGTTAAGGCTCAAGTGCTCTTAATAACTAAAAG